ACGGACAATATTGTGTCTGCTTAGGATGAAGGTTATTACAAATGGTATTGGGTTCTAACCTAATCGAAAGTGTGACCAACGGGGATGTTAGGTACCGAAGAGGGAGTGATTGTGGCGACCTTGTGGGAGGATGTATGTGAGCAAGTGACACCAGTAGACTACCACACTGGACAAACTACAGGTGCACAATCTTCAATTACTTGGATATAGATGGCTAGGGAGAGAGTCATTACATGTAAACTTACAATTATGCTCATTTTTTATCTCTTTATAAAATAAAGAGATAAAATATTTATCCAATATAAATTTTAATCCTATTTAATAAAAGTAAAGACGGGTAAATTATAAAATGATACTTTTTCATGATTCTTGAAAAAAAATTATACTAACCAAATGTATGTTAGAAAATTGATTTTCTTTTTCTTCACTTTGTTTTCTTTCACTTTCACTTTGTTTCGTTTGGTACTCAATTACACTTTTGCCCCAAAGATCGATTAACTCTTCTTCAAATTAGTTTCAATAAAGAGAATATAGAATTGAATCACAACGGATTAAATTTTTTTTCTTTCAAAAAGATCAAAAATATTTCAAATTTGGAGCGAATTAATTTGTCATTCTTCTTTTTTTCTTAAAATTATTTGTCATTCTTCTTGTTAAACCTTCTTGTTAAATTCTTCTCATCCATGTCAAAATATCAACAATCACAAATCACATGCTCTAGTTTCTTCAGAAAAAGGATAGACAAATTAAATCTATGCGAATCACGTGCACTAATGAAGTACTAGTATGGTGTAAATTTGAAACAGCACGTGACACAAATGAACAGTGTCTTGTCATAGTCCCAATTACATCCACCTGAGTATTTTGCTCAATAATTGTTCAGTCATTCGACAAACAGATTTTGAATAATTAAAGGGCGAAGTAATTCTTCAATTTTAATATTAATTAACATTTGATTTTAATAATTCAAAAGTATGATAAATATAAACCAAAAATTTAAAAAATAAACGTTTAAGATGCTTGAAGAGTAATATTCACGTACAAGTTGACCAATTGATTTTTTTTTTTTCATTAACAAAAGATTCGTGCACCTTTTTTGTTTTTAAGGAACTCAAATTCTTATCTTCTGTTTTGGGAGATATCACTCGAGGTATAAGTTGACTACTTAATTTAGTGAGTAAAAATATTTATTGCACTAGACATATTTATATGTAGTTTATATAATATCTCTATTTTTAAAAAAAAAAATTGGTCTATAAAAACCTATAAAATATAGTGTTAATAATTTATTATTGTTGAAATTAGGGGATTTCACCACTGGACTACTGGTCCAATTGATATGAAATTATATTATAAATGTTTAAAGGAGAGATTGAGAATTTAAATATGTTTTGTGTCTGTTTTAACTTTTTGGGAAAATAAAATAAAATAATAAAAATAAAACAAAAAGTATGGCCTTGCCATAATTTTTTAATTTTTTTTGAACAATACTTGCTTACTCACTGGTGAGTAGGAAACTTATACTCGTATGTGGCGCAATACTAAACTGACAAGTGTTCTTATATTTAAAATAATAAAAAATAAATAATTTAATAGTTATATGGATTAAACCCAAATGAATTCAAATCAAATTCTAATTCTTTCTCCTCTCCCTCTTTCTCAGACTTCTATTTTGTAGAAGCTCTAATCTCATCCGTTCTCTCTCTCCCCTTCTCTCTCTCTCTCTCTCTCACATATTTATAAATATGATATTTTCCAGACCTAATTTTCTATGATATAGACTAGTACCATCCAATTAATCCATGAGAGAAGATTATTTTGAAATATTTGTACCTGCTCTGAGAGAGGTAGAATTATAGCAGTCTCTTGATCAAGAACAACCAAATTTCCTTTTGTATGTTTTCTGGGAAGAGTTGAATGTAGTTTCCCTAGTGGTTTCGATTATGCACTTGTCTATCTACTAGGAGTAGTATTTTTTTTTTTGATAGATACTACTAATTTATGTAGTTGACTATCACTGCCAATTGGAGGACAAAACTACGTTCCTAATTTAAACATATGGAGGATATGACTTATCTATGGACTACTGTGAAACTAGGTTAGATTGACTCGCAAGCTTCAAATTACTTCTCAAGATTGAGAAAACATTATCTTCTTTTAACTTGCCTAGTTTCAATGAATTTTGCTTAAGCTAATACATATATAAATGTCTGTAAAAAGAGGGATAGAATGGATGAGATTAGGGCTTTCACATAATAGAAGCGTGAGAAAGAGGTAGGAGAGAGAGAATTAGAAATTGATTCGGATCCATTTGAGTTTAACTCAGATATCTATTAAATTATTTATTTTTTATTATTTTAAATATAAGAACACTTGTTAGTTTAGTACGTCGTGAATATAAATTTTTTACTCATTGGTGAATAGAAAATTATTGTCATTTTTTTTTTTAGGTAAATGTCTTGCCATAAACTTGCTCCATATAAATTTTATATTTTAAATTGCTCTCAAGGCAAAGAAACGCATCATTCCAAACAAAGCGCGCCAAAAAATTTATGGCTAGCAATGGTTTTTTTTTTTTTTTTTTGAACGGTAAGCTTAGCTAGCAATGGTATTACTTACGAGTGTGACATAAAAGTTATTAATTACCGTATTTACGGATTTACCCTAATCTCCTAATGTTATTGAAAATAGGAAAAGTGATTAAGAAGGACATCAAAATCTTTAGGAGTCTGCCCCACAAGAACGCAAAAAAAAAAGCCCATACCCTCCTAAAGCGCGTGATTGTCATGCATGATTGATGAGTTGGAGTTTGTCGAGTCGACATGAAAAATGATATAATACTCATAATTTGTTTAATAAATGGGTCAAAATTTAACGCGACACAAAACAATACTACATGACATGTTTAAGTCATTTTTTACGCGAATACTATATATTTATTTAGCATGTTTAGTTAAATGGATCATTTTTAACACGAACACGACATGTTTTGTTAAATGAATTAATTTGATTATAAACGAGTTGACAAGTTAAACACGAATATGACATGTTTAATTATCGTGTCAATTCGAATCGATACGAATACGATTAAGTCAAATCCAAACTAACTAATTTCTTGTCGTGTTAGTATGTCGTGTCAAATATTGCCACCTCTCTAACTCATGTAGGTATTATGTGTTTTGAACACTCTTTTTTTGGTACTTATGATTTTGCTCAAAATGCATTTACATAATTCAAGGGTGTCCACACATATATAAATCTCAACAACTTTTCTCCCATATGATATAGAACGTCACAATCATTCCTCTTTGAGACCCAACGTTCTTGTTGCGTAACCCACGAGATTAAGCATGCTCTCCTATTTTTGATTGGGGATTGTTTGTCACGACCGCCCTCCAATTCAAATATATATTTGTCCGTTTTGTACATTCTCTTGTTGGCATAATCATATATAGTTTTTCTTCTACAAATGCCAACAATCTCCCACACAATCACATACTTAGTTACAGGCAATTGAGTGGGAAATATGATTGTGTTACAACAAACGCAACGACCCAAACAAAAATTACGAAACACTATGGGAAAAATAAACACACCATTCAAAGAACATAAAGATTTATACTTGGTTCGACAAAGTTTACGTTTACAGTAGAGATCCACGCGAAAATTTTCACCGGCCCCCCACCCCCCCACCACACACACACACACACACACACACACACTATATCTCTGTATAATTTTTAGCATCTCTTGATAATCACACTTCAAATCCTAGGTGCCCTTATATATCGGATTACAAGAGAGTACTAACTTGGGCCCATATGCGAAAACGAAAAAAAAAAATTTCAAATAACAACGCGACCCGATACCAAATTCGGACCACAACATCACATATTGTTTGTAGTTAATTTGTACTCATTTTTTAATTAGGATTAAGTTTGAAATCAATTTAGAGTTGTAATAAATATATAAAAACTAAGTTCAAGTTTGACATTGAAATTTATGTAATTCATTCAAATTTTACTTGTGAGGTTGTAATCTTTTTTGTTTTTTCAAATTATTATAATTTCAATTTTGGAAAAAAAGTTAGGCACGAGTGAATAATTTTACTACATTAACAAAAAAAAATGAAATTCGAATTTGATTTATATGCTTAAGAGACTTCTATTTATAATGCTACGTTATAAGCAACAAATAACTATTAAAGTGTTAAGTTGTGCTATTTAGCTTTTTCTATTTCGATGATATGGGATACGAACTCATAAAATTCTCTCATTAAAATTCGCAATATACATATTTTTATTTAATCACTTGTATACCCTTTCATTTTAACAACTAAAAAATTCAATAACAATTCAAACACGTACCGTTCTCCGTGTGAACGCTTGACATAAAACTAGACAAAAAAAATTGAGCCTACTCCAATGTTTAGGTCAAATGACAAGCTCCTGTTTGTTACTGCGACTTTTGTATATATATGTAGTATTAGCTAATGGATTTTAAAAAAAAAATTTAGATTTGTAAAAAGTCAGAACAAAATTTTAAATAAATTTCTCAATTCAATTGTAAAAAAAATGAGCTTACTCGTAACTAAAAAAGCACAAAAAAAAAAAAAAAAAAAAAAAAAAACCAAAGTACCAATGACCTCACACGCGCTTGAAAAAGAGCATGGGTCCCACATATTCACACACAAAAAGAAAGTTTTACAAAACCCAACAAAATTTTCGTGGCCTTTACTAGCAATGACAGAGCCAAAATCACCAACTTTTTCAACACCAAAGGCAGTGGGGGATAAAAATGCTTTCCCATGATTCCTCTCAATCTTTCACCACCCCTTGAGGTAGAACAGTAGAAACTCTCAGAGTCACAGGCCACACAGCTCATCTTTAGCTGTATATCTATCTCTCCACACACACATACACACACACACATATATATATACACATACACATGTAAATATACGGTGATGTGATGATTATAAAGAATCTTACCAAGGGCAAATTTGCAAATCCCAATGGCCAAAATAAACATATCTGTGTCTGTCAGAAAATTTTAACCTCTTTCTAAATCTTTTCTTCGTCTTCATCATCCATCCACACCTATACACTGTACTACTACTCTACACTGTTAACATATTGTTACTTTTGTGTTTGATCAGTAAGTATTTCTTTTCTTACACTCCATGGATGAGCAAATAAATCTTCTCTGAGTATGGTGGGTGTTTCTTTGTTTGCAAGTCTGAACTACCATTCTCTTTGCTAGCTCCTCCTACTGGTTCTCTCTCTCTCATCTACCAAGACTACCATCCATCTCTCTCTCTCTCTCTCACACACACACACACACACACACCTACACCCACAATAAGAACATTCTCTTCCTCACACACTCTCCTATGGGTTGCTTTGGACATTCTTCAACAACCCATGTCCCCATGTAAGTTTCAGATAACTGTGTGCGTGTGGGTTAGTGTGTGAAGAGTAGTATATCATCTCTCAATCTTCTCTATGGTCTTTGTCTAGAGAAAGTACCCAATCGAGAACAGAGTATTTTGAATTTTCCCTTCCTTTGTCTCTCTAAATAGTTAAAAGTAGTCCCTACAAGCACCATAACATTCTTCCTCCATTTTCCCTCTCTAAAATCTAGAGAGAGAGAGAAACAAAATGCCCACCATTTTCTTCTTCTTCTTCAGTGTCTTCACCTTCTTTAGCTTCGCACCACATCTCTTATCCTCCACCCAAATCAATCACAACCGTCGGATTCTCCATCAACCCTTCTTCCCTCTTGATTCTCTCCCTCCTTCTCAACCACCATTTCCATCTCCTCAAGGCCAACCACAACAACCCAAATACCCATTCTCTTCCCAAACACCCCCAAACAAGCAAGGCGCGTTTTTCCCATTTTACCCCTCACCGCCACCACCGCCTTCCACCACCTCTCTCACCTCATTTCCGGCGAATATTTCTTCTCTCATCCTCCCTCAATCCTCCGGTTCAAAACCCGTTTCTCGGAAACTCGTCGCCATCGCCGTTGCCGTCTCTCTCCTCTCCGTCGGACTCATTGCCCTTATCGCCGCCTTCCTCCTCCACACCCGGAGGCACCGTGGTTTCGTCGACAAAGAGGCCTCGAGGTCCGACAGTCTCCGGCTGTTCCCCCCCAACGTCACCGCCTCCGACGTCGGTCACCGGCCGCCGTCGCACAACGTGTCCAGTACCAGCTCGGAGTTCCTCTACTTGGGTACTCTCGTGAACTCCAGAGGAACCGACGAAACCCATGTGGTGAACCCAAGCAACGACGGCGCATCGACCGTTACCGGATACCAGAAATTGGGTTCGCCGGAGCTCCACCCTCTTCCGCCGTTGCCGCGGCAGAATTACCGGCATAATGCCGGAGTAGGTCCTTTTAGGGACAATGAAGATGACGAAGATGACGAGTTTTTCTCGCCGAGAGGGTCTTCCGACGGTAAACAAAGTCCGATTGGCCTCGAATCGAACTCTGGGAGAGAGTTTCGAGCTGTGGAACGTGAAAAATTCGGAAGCCGAAGCTCGAATTCGGGGACGGCGTCGTACCCATCTTCCAATTCTGCTTCTCCAACTCAAACCATGTCCAGTAGTCCCTCCGTGCCACTAATTTCGACCCCCAGAAGCTTAAGATCAAAATCGCCGGATTCCGTCGTTGATTTTCCGGCCCCGTCACGGCCACCACCACCAATACCGCCACAATCTATGAGCCCATCGACACCGTCTTCAACTCCAGAGAGAAATTCAGGGGAAACCCAAAATTCACCCAGAATGATTTCGGATGTTTCAGGGCTGAAGAAGCAATCTCCGGCGAGAAAAAGCAATGTTTCGGGTCAATATGTTGCTGTCAAATTGCCGCCGCCACCTCCACCGCTTCCGCCACCGAGGTTTTGGGAAACACCTGTGGTGCAGAGTCTAAATCGAGAATCAATGACAGGGCCTCCGGTTCTTGTAGTGCCGTCAAGACCTGTTTTCCAAAACCCATCACTGGCTTCGCAGGATGAACAAGCTCAGAATTTTGAGACTGTGGAGAGAGATGATGGAACTCCAAAGCCGAAGCTGAAAGCATTGCATTGGGACAAGGTCAGAGCAAGCTCGGATCGAGCAATGGTCTGGGATCAGCTGAAATCTAGCTCTTTTCAGTAAGATTTTGAGCTGATCTGTTTTTTCTGCTTTTAGTTCATTGATTATGCTATTGGTTTGGAGTGAGTGGTACATTTTTTTTTGCTTTATTTAGTGAATCATATCATATGTTTTGTAAGTTTGTAGAATTTGGATTTGATTGCAGGTTAAATGAGGAAATGATTCAGACATTGTTCATGGTAAATGGTACCAATTTGAATCCAAAAGATAATATTCGACGCCAGATTCTTCCGGCTCTTAATCAAGAGAATCGGGTACTTGATCCAAAGAAATCCCAGAACATTGCAATTTTGTTGAGAGCACTTAATGTGACCATAGATGAAGTTTGCGAAGCACTTTTAGAAGGTAAATAATTAACTGGTTCTATTACTGTTAGCATGTTTATGTCCCTTTTAATATTTCCTGACCTTCATTATATCAAACAGAAGTATTTTGGAACAACCTTTCTATTTGTTTTCTAGTATAGAAGTAATTTTCTGTTTATGAGGTTTTGGACTTGATTTATTTTTACAATTTATAATTTATGCTAGCTTGATATACTGAGCTGTATCTGAATACCTGCTCTTATTGTTGTGCTGTAAAGCGTGAACAAGAGTTTGAAGAAGTACATGTCACTGATTTGTGCTCTGTCCTTTGATTAAATTAGTACTATTGTTCTAATTAAATTGAATACTCGTTTGGCTAAGTTGGTAATTAAAATGAACAAAGGGCACGAGGGAAATGAATTTTCCCTCTTAATTGCCATGTTTTTTTTTTTTTTTTTAATTCCTTTATTTCTTGACTTTGAATCTAGCGTGTTAGTTCAAATGTTAAAATCGTACAAGAATGGCATTGGCTTACACTGAATGCATCGCTAATGGTTCTTTGTAATTGAAGCTGGTTGTAGGGCAAAAACTGCCCCTTTGAGTGGTAGTTAGATCGTGGTTTGGCGGTTGGCTGGTTGCAAATATGAAAGCCTTTTTTGGTCCATGAAGTGCTTTAAATTTTTAATGGACAATATATGTGCACCTGTTGTGGCATACAGTTAAATCTTTCCGCTTGAACGTTAGAGAATCTGTATGTGAATGCAAGCATTGCATGTGCAACTGTGGTTACTGGAGGTTGGTAATACTTTGCTTCTTTCCTTAGGTAGGGTCTCTTGAGGTTAGTTTGGAAGTAATAAAATAGTGTGATATCTGCTGCGTTTTGATTTGCACTAGGTGCATTGTGTGTCCTCTTCACATTCTATTGGGTACGCATGAAAATTATGGGTTTAGTTGCTCTAGGTTTCTATTATTTTCGCTTCATGGCTCGTTGCTTCTCCAATTTACTTCGAAAGTAAGGGAATTGAGGTTGTATTAGTTTTGTTAACTGAACTTTTGGTTTTTTTATCTTGGCCATTTTCCTCTATTAGAATGGTTTTGCTCCATTATCTGCATGTCTCGTAGCATAATGTCATGATGATCATTTTTTCGTATGTCCTTAATGCCTAATATAATTCACCTCTGCTATTGATTTCCTAGGTTACAAAACTCTGTCTGTCTGTCTGTCTGTGCGCTTGCTTGCTTGTGCATGTGTGTCTCTGTTGCTGTAATGTTCTCTCATTTTCTTCCACTTGCAAACAGGCAATGCAGATACACTGGGGACAGAACTTCTTGAGAGTTTATTAAAGATGGCTCCAACCAAAGAGGAAGAACGAAAACTCAAGGAGTTCAAAGATGAATCACCATTCAAACTTGGCCCCGCTGAGAAATTTCTCAGGGCAGTGCTTGACATACCTTTTGCTTTTAAGAGGGTGGATGCAATGCTTTACATAGCCAATTTCGATTCAGAGGTTGAGTACCTTAAAAGGTCTTTCGAAACTCTGGAGGTAAATCTCATCTTCTCATGATCATTTCTTTTTAAATTGGTTATTTTATTGTGCTCTACATGTATATTATCTGGGATGAGTTTCTATTCCTTTTGGTTTTCTTTTTGGGTGGGGAAGTTGTTGGGCAGGGGTGGGGGTTGTGAGATTTGGAAATCTTTCCCCTACCACTCTAATGGGTGATTTCATTTTCCCATCGTTTTGGGTGTGGTTTTTTTTTTGAAGGGGTTCTGACCAGAATGGCCTTAGATCATATTATACGAACTTGAAACAACTTAAAAATTAACCCGGAAATTACATATTGAAATTAAAATAAATTAGGTTAATCGGTTGATGAATTTAAATAGTTTCAGTACTTTCTAGCATTGGTTAATTGAAGTTCTGGCATTTGAAAAGCTTTCAGTGGGTCTGAGCTTGTCATGTCACCACTCTTGTTGAGTCCTGTTATGTTTGCCTGCCTGTTGTCATTTGGTTTTGCTGACCAAATATCAATTTGCTATCAATCTGTCAAATAAACGTGAGTTAATATATCTAAATATTTGAATGGATGGTTGTGATTCAGCTGAGCCATATATTTGGAGATCTCTACATAATATTGGTTCAAACCCCCTTTCCTCATCTTTACTGATTTACATAGCGTGTAATTTGCATGCATAAATATAAAGACTTCATTCTCATGATTTTTTATTTAAGTATTGTTCATTTACCTTCTATTTGGAAAAAAATATAGACAGAATAATATATGTAGATGTGGGGACTATAGATCTCCTAAGCTCCTACTTAAAACTACATTGGCTAGACGGTTTGTGATTTAAGCTGGAGCATCTGGTATAATATGCTATGTGACCGGATGACCTAAGGAGTATACCTACATCTTGATAATTCAGTGGCTAAGTGCACCACAAAATGAGTAGATGGAGTTATAAGGCCTCGAAGTATTGGGCTTCCATATCTTTAGCATAGCGAGCTTAGCTAACTTGATTAAGACGAGTTGAACCTTCTATGAACAGAGCTGCAAATAGTAGGATGGTTCTACATTTTTTAAACATTGCATCTTGTTGTTTTGGTTTTCAGACCTACAAAGTCTAAAACATTCTTCCCAAGAACTTAGTGGTGTTATGCACCCATTTCGAGCAGAAACGCTAGTAGTTAGTAAGGTTGACTGGCAAGATAAATCTCCCAAGTATTTTCAACAGGATAACTATATAGAAGAAGCCATTGAGTGCATGTTCCCAAACTCCCAACTAATGAAGGATTTTCTTGCATTTCACTGTTGTTGTCATCAAAAAAAGATAAATTCTGATTTTCCCAGAAAAAGATAGTAGCCCGGGGAAAGAAAAAGATGGATTCTGATGGTTACCAGATTCCATTGCCTGCTATTTATAAGCCAAAATTTTCACATTTGTTCCTTGCAGACGGCATGTGAAGAATTGAGGAACAGCAGAATGTTCATGAAGCTTCTAGAAGCCGTGTTGAAGACTGGTAATCGCATGAATGTTGGGACTAACCGTGGTGATGCCCATGCCTTCAAGCTTGACACACTCCTAAAGCTTGTTGATGTTAAGGGCACAGATGGAAGAACCACTCTGTTACATTTTGTTGTACAGGAGATCATCAGAGTTGAAGGGTCTCGTCTCTCAGGTGCCGATCAGAATCCAGTGGCCGAAGAAAATCATCCTTCTTCTTTCCGGGATGATGTCGAATTCAGGAAGCTTGGCCTGCAAGTTGTTTCTGGCCTGAGTGGGGAGCTCACCAATGTGAAGAAAGCTGCTGCCATGGACTCAGATGTGCTCAGTAGCGAAGTTCAAAAACTAGCTAGAGGAATCACTAAGATTGGGGAAGTTGTGAAGTTAAACGAAGAACTCCCATTGAAGGACAGTAGCCGGAAGTTCTCTGAGTCCATGAATGGGTTCTTGAAGAAGGCGGAGGAAGAGCTAATCAAGATTCAAGCCCAAGACCGAGATGCTCTCTCTTTGGTGAAGGAAATAACAGAGTACTTCCATGGCAACTCAGCTAAAGAAGAAGCGCATCCATTCCGGATCTTCATGGTAGTAAGGGACTTCCTTTCTATCCTTGATCAGGTATGCAAAGAAGTTGGGAAGATCAATGAGAGAACTATAGTCAGCTCCGCCCGTCAATTTCCACTGCCAGTAAATCCCAGTCTTCCACCAGTTTTTCCTGCATTCAGTGGACAGCGACAGTATAGTTCGTCTGACGATGAAAGTTCATCCTCCCCTAGCACCTGAATTTTATACTTGCTTGTGCTTGCTACTTGGTCTCACCAGAATGCTGATCAGAAAATGGTGGCACTTTTGGCTTTTAAGTTTTATTATTATTATTATTATTTTTGTATTTTTATATAAACCCATGTAGAGATTTTGAAATTGTTGTATCCTATATGTAATATACAGGGAATGGAATCGTGTCAGGACATAATATGGTAGTGTTGAAGGAATTGTTAGAGGTAGCTTGTAAATTTGTCAGAAATGGATTCAAGGATTGGTATTCAGTGATAGATTCAATCTTTGGTTTCCTTTTGTACAGAAATCACTCAGTTATGGATGAGCTTAGATTAGAATGTGCACATATATGATCTTCCATTAAAAAAATTCGATTTTGACATTGAAAAAAAAATAAACCAGTTCTTCCTATCTTTAGTTTCTTGCCTCGTTAACTCGAGTTTTGAGCTTCCGTATATATCCATCATTTTTGGAACTATAATGCAAATATGTAGAGCTTCTAGGAGGAAAAGAAAAGAAATTTAAGAGCAACTCTAAATCTTGTTAAAGAAAAGATAGTTTAGTTACGTGAGTTGAAATGTACAACAGGAATCTACTTGTTAAAAGAAGGGATCTCCCGAGTGTCTAAATAACTGGGGACTTCTTTTCTACTTTGAAAAAATAAACTGTAATAAATTAATCGGTATTGTCTGCGACATAATGCTTGAAATTACTTAAAAGCCTAATTTTGACCTTAGAAAGCTTGAAAAGACAAATATTTTTCATTAAAAAAAAATAAAAGTACATGGTATAATTGCCATTTCACGTCATTGGTAAACTGACATAGGGAAGGTCAAGTGTTAGTTTTTAAACCAAACGGGAGGTCCCTGTTATTTAGACATTCAACAGGGAGGTTAGTGTAATTTACCTTTTTCTTTTTATTCCTTCATTTTCGAGGCTTAAGAGGTTAATTGCTCCCACTTTTTCCATTCATTTCCTTATGTTAAACCAAATGTGATTATAACCTTTCCCGTTACATTTTCTATCCTTCCATCTACCTCAATCCAAATGCACTCTTAAAGCCTCAAGTACGTATGTGCATCAAGAAGAGGAGTAATTATTTATGTACAGCACTTTTAATTTCAATCTAAAAGTTTAAGCAGAATGTCACAGGTAATTGTTTTGGAGCTAAACTTGCAAAAACTTGCCTTCAAGGTGTTTCAAAATGGATATATCTTTCAAGTTTTAGAACTCTCCAGCAGGACCCTTCAGGCTTTTTGCTTCCCTTATTTCACCAGAAGATAAACTCATCCATGATTTAACTTCTCAAGCTTTTCTGCTTCCATACGCTCAATCACCCGCCTTGCTTCCTCCTCTGTAGCTGGAACCACATTCCGAATCCTCATATCACTTTTCTTGGCCTCTGAACGGACAGTGAATGTGAAGTAGAACTTGTTCGATACCTGTTCAGGTTGCAGAACATGCGACAAAGCCATAAGATTAGTAAATAGATGAGTAATGGTTTTGATTCAAAACAAAATGGGGAAAAAAAATAACGGAATTGGGTTATAGGATGAGATCAATCTGAAAAAATAAGACAAACCCATGTTATTGGATAGTTTTGATGTCGTTAAAAGAAAAATGTTAACCATTTTTTCCCCCTAATCTCGAATAAGAAGAACGATGACATTGTCGCAAGCATCATTGAACTCATTTGGTCAATCTATTTGACTCATTTTTGTTAAGATTTTCCATCATCAGTTTTCAAATGAAGCTTGATCATAGCATAAATTTAACTTATGTACATAACTTAATTTGCTAATAAGTTGAAACTGAAAGTCTATAAAAGGAGGTTCGAACATTGGAATAGTTAAATGTGCTCTATAAATTATTAGAAAATGAAAACGAAAACTGAAATATATTGGCTAAGTTATTGGAACTAACGGCCAAAATCTGAAAGAATGAGAGACTAAAGATCATACAATTTTGGTTGAATAAGTAATCAAAATAACAGCCAACGTACCAACGGACCAATGGCCTAGCGGTATCAGCCTCTTATTTCCCAAAGGGATGTTAGGGGTTCAAGTCTCAGAAGAGACGTGTGTGTGTGAGTATCAACTAGGACAAAAAAAAAAAAAAAAAAAAACAGCCAACATGTGAAATACTGACAGAAACCTCAGATATTGATGCTACCTTATTTTTGCTGTACCCTCTATTATCACCGTTATTCAAAATATTAAAAACTCTGCCAGCTGATGATTGCTGCACAGATCTGTGTACAATCATGTAATATCAATTTTTTTTTTTTTTTGCCCTCGTAATAATATAATTTAGGATGCTTACATTCATTTCAATTTTTTTTTCCTTTCAGAAACAATTTTTATTTTTAAAATTTATTTTTATGACTCAACTCGAGGATGATTTGATCTCTGCTACATATGACAAATTTAATGCCTTGAAAGTTAAAAGAAAAAGAAGCAAATTTTTTTTTTTCCCACATAAACAATGCACCCTTGAGTGTGAAATGATTACATAAAACATCATAGCTCACCTCACTGGACCTGAGCTCAGGCCGTGTAACATGAGCTACAACTTCAACATTGATAAGCGGTTGATCTGGGTTCTCGAGTTCAGTGAACAAAACACAAGACTTGAGAAGGAGGAAGTTTCCGACATCCACCTGCATCAGAGAATCAAATATTATAATCCCACTAACATGGACTTATGACTGATTAAATTCTGAAGGACTTGCTCAATCCCCCATTGACAAGTTCGACATTGAGTTTTGTTACAGAAATTCTCATATAATGGGTTGATAACTGATCTACCATTGAATTTCGAGATTATGAATGCATTAGTGTCTCACTTCAACAAATCCATGGACTTGCATGTGAATCACATTTAATTTACTTTTGAGAAGTTACGGTTCAAGAACTATAAAGGAATCAATATAACAAGAACAATAATAAAAAATAAAAAAATGAAAAACACAAACCAAAATTGGCAAGCTTAAGGATACAACTCAACTATAACTCACTTTAAGGCATTTATCAAAAGTTACATGAAGGTAACAATAGCATTAATTAGTTCAAATATTAAAAAATCCAAATTTTATGAAAACTTCCACTTGTTTTAGTTTTGGTAAGGAAACCTTCCCCTTATTCTCTACAATTGTCAAGACAAAATAACACCGCTAACAAGCATAGATTGCTTTTTTCATCTTTATTTCTTCGTTATTAACCATAAATAAATGGAGTACTTGTTCCCCTAGAAAATTTTATTAGTGAATTATTAATTGAATTTATCTTGTTTCAATGGGGAATCGAAATGGATATGCAGTCTTGACTTGTATTTTGGAGAACAAAACCATACTGTATTCTTCCAATACTTTTTTCTTTTCATTTGTATTTTTTTCATAACTGTGATCAAACTGATGACCAAGTATAGGTTTTGAAAAAAAAAAGGGAAAGAAAGAAAATTTGTTGCAAGTTTAGGAGAATTTCAACCATAATCCACAACCATAAGTGGGGCAAAAATCCAAAAAAAACATATATAGATATATGTTTAAGAGAATTTCAACAATAATCCACAACCTCAAGTTGGCCTAAAATCCCCCATCTTTCTTCTTTACAAGGGATTGCTTGCCTCCTCAACCCAGACATTGCTAATATTATTGTGCTCTGGATAAATTATTCTCTTTCACAAGTGCAGAAATGTATAATCCTTTTGTATTCCTATCCGAATCAAATTCAAAATTGATTTGATTATTAACTGATATTATTTGATAAAATTGGAACCCATAAATAAATTCAGATTGCTGTGTATACCAGTTATCACTGATTGATAAAATTCTTATATGTAGGGGGGTTGTTCTTTATGGTAAAAAATCCATTCATCTCAGTTATTTGTGAGAAAAACAAGAAAAGAGGGGCACTGTTGAATTTCAAGTATTCAGGTTCACTAATAAGATACAGAGACTTACTTCCCATTTGACATTGCACAGAAAAGACTATTTATTTAAAAAATAAAAATAAAAAGAGAGATAAATTTTGACTCATAAACGGTTTCTTGTCAACAAATCAAAGATATTGAATGGCATACAGGTACAAAACATGCAATCTCAGTAGTGTATAGTCACATAAACCTTATCTAGTTCGAGCAATTTTTGATGATCCTAGAAGACAGATAATTATATGGGGATAGCTATTGTGAGACGGAACAACACAAGGGCAAAAAAGAAGAAGCATAAGAGGAGTGCATAAAATTTGCAGAGAAAGTGATTCAGAGAAGGAGAAGGAATGGTCATGAAAGTGGTTTACATGGGGCTGCCCATGGCCAATCTATCCCTTGCTTACCAACCAAATGGTTGAACTTCTCCTTCACTGCACTTATTCATGAGGCATGGCTTTCTGCATACACATATTTACCCACTCTGCTCCCCCTACACCCTTAGAATAACGGGGACCGAATTGGGTAAAGACTTTTATATACCTTTTTTTCCCAATAATTTTGGGTAATGGCTTTTATAACCTCTCCTATCAAGCCTACATGGGAACTGCCACCATGGTTGCAATCCTGTACTATCAAAACGTCACTTTTATCATAAAAAGCAACACACTATTATTGTTCTCTTGAAATGACATTAACATAGTATTGTTGTCAATACAAGATTCTCAAAAATAACTTATTATATCCTAATCATGTAATATCATACAAGTTACGTGATACTATAAAATCATTATCGTTTAATACATAGGATGAAGTTGGCTAGTGGCTTTGATCCTATGTCTTGGATTCTCAAATTTTAGCAATCACGAATAAAGCAAAATCTCAAGCAACTAATACGTTCATTATGAGGATCCCGTTTAGCAGTGGCTAAGGTCATATTTTATGTTAATGCTGATAAGAAACCAACCCTCCATTTATAAAAGCAATCAACATAGCTTTCCTTCCTAGAAAGTAGAAACACATGAAGTAAAATATTATGAGTTTAACAAACAGTACATTTTTTTTATATTAAACTTATTAGTTCTAAGTTTATTTAGTCAGGAGTATCTCATCTTCCAAATGACTTTATCATGATATGGGACCTTTAACCAAATACTGATACCTGTGTAGTTTTGAATGAAGAAAATACATGTCTAAATGCATGGCTCAAACAAACTAAGATACATTGGACAGTTCAACTCTCTGTATCATTAACAACCAACTGAACCAAGTGTGAGGGGAAAAATAATACCAGCCTTGAGATTAATGAATGCTACCCTCATTTCATTCTTTTCTAGACTTTATAATTTAAATCATGCCTATGATGCATAATAGCAATATAATAATTGTTAGTACTACCTGAGAGACCTAATTCACTAATAGTATAACAATACTTAACCTACATTTCATAAAGTAAGATGAGAATGGAGAGAACGAAAAGTTAAAAAAGGTCGAGTAATCGGAACAATCTTTCGATCAATTGACTTGAACGACCGGATGAATCAAACGATTGATCTAACGAATCAATCTAGTTATAAGCAACTCCTATATCTTTGAAAGCAAACATAGGTTTTCTTCCTAATAGCATTCCACAATAGTATTTAAGCATAAGACAGTGTCACTCGATCTTTTTCTTTTTCCTTTTCCATTGTTTTCTGGATTTGCCATATTTGACCTTTGTACTCATATCATCAATACATATACCTAAAAAGATATGAGGAGACTGATAACAAGATTAACACCAAAACTTTGGGAACAAAATTAGGCCTCAGAGACATGCTTAGCATATACAGAGAATGATGATAATAAATTCTCTGCAATAAATACTGTTCAAAATAGTAACAGGAATTAGTATGTTAGATTCCAGGAAGGTAATAGGTCGGGCTACTCACAGGTTTTAAGAAATCGACACGATCAACTTCTAGAAAGCATGGCACGCTGCCAACAAAAGCATAAGTTGTTGCAAATGCCAGTTCGAATGCTCTTCTCATTAAAAATCCTCCGAATATTCGACCGTGGATGTTCCTTTGCTGTGGCTGGCAAATCAAAGAGTTTTGGTGGCAAGTATCCCTCATAAGAATGCTATCTCTATCTGCCAAAGCTGGCATGTGACAAAAGACCCGCCCTTCAGCTAGCAACTCGTTGAGCCTATCTACTTCCCAATCCTCAATCACCTTTTTATGTTCTCCTCTATTCTTTTTTCTCATTTTGTTCCTTTCTTCTGCTTCTTGCCAAAGCAATTTTTCTTGTTCAGATTCAGGTGAGATCTGGTTGACCAGAGCTGATTTACCAGTCTCTGAGTCACGAGCCACAAAAGTGAAGTTTGCTGTGAGAGCAACTGAATCTGAGGGATTAGATATTTCTGCAAAACAATGACTTTTAATTAAAGCATAGCCACAAATAAGACATATCAGCAGCAAAATGAGACCAAAAAAAAATGCATTTGGTTTGGTGACTGGGTGCATTTTAATACAACAGCCCATTATTCTCATCATTATTTAACAAGGGAATCTCTTGGGAACAAAATCTGGTTGCATTTTTTGGGAGACCATTGACATAAAATTTTGCTAAACAAACAAGGTAACTGTTTATGATATTTTGGTTCCATTTATAAGAAATAATTTGCTGCTGCTTCCCTCTCCCCACTCCCCCCCACCCCCCCAACCACCACTTATTGGTAGCAATACACCTAGCTCTAAAGTGTTGACATTTTCAGAGGACCACTACAAGATAGTAAGGGGTTGGAAAGGGATATGAACAAAAGAATCGAGATAACCTTGAGAAAAGAAACAAAAAAGAAAATATAAAAACTACTTCAACTAGAAGTAGTGGAAGCCCCATCTACCCAATGAAATGCTTCTGCTTTTTGGGAAAAAAGTATGTTCTCCCATGGAGAATAAGTTACTGCTGAAATCAAACGAAATATTAGCAAGTCAGTTAATAACCAGATTGCATAAACTAAAAGGAACGGCAAGCAAGATCCTGAATGGAGAGACGTAAAAAATGGGAAGGTTAATCATAGCCACCAAATGACTAGAATCAGATTCAAACATGAAATAAAAAACCAGAAATTAGCACAAGAAAATAACACAGACAATACAGCCTTCAGAACTTTGTCAGTGACCTAATTTTCTTAAAAATTCCAAATATTAAGTTACCTCTAAAGCTTATTTAGATTCCATCCAAACTAGCTCCACCAAGAGATAATAACCTTAGAGCTAGGACCAGTATGGAGTTAAACCATCTTACTTCTGGTAATCTCAATGGAAATTATTAAGTTCCACTTCCATACAGCCTTCAATTCAACTTCAGAACTTGTTCAGTGCGCATGTCTCAAAAAATCCAGAAATTAAGTTCCCTCTAAAGCTTATTCAGATACCACCCATACCGGCTAACCAGTTCCACCAAGAGATAAACTCTACAGATGCAATCAGTATAGAGTTTAAACATCTTACTTCTTGTAATATCAATGGGAACTATTAGCAACTTTCAGCTCTTTCTTGGTGTAATATTGAGTTTCTACTGCTCCCTGATTATCATATATGATTATGGCAAGACAAACAAACTACCAAATTCCAATTTATCATCAAAACCATATACCAACAAGAGTTATCATCGTATGTCGACCTCAAATAACAATAAAAGACCTCGTCCTACAATAACAACCAACATGGACCTTGATCTATTTCCTACAAATAATTAACCCTCTGCAATGCAAGACAAATATTCCACTATCACAAATTCAGCTGCAACTGGACATAATTTTGATTCCTAGAACAAGTTACTCAACTATCTTGACACTGTCCAGCGAGCACCAACAATGATATCATATTATTTAATTATGTTCACCTCAAATCTGCCAATACCAAGCCTCAAACTTTACCCAACAATATTATAAAGGATGAGGGAGAGCTAGATAAACAAGCTGATTAATTGATCAATTGAATCACCTGACAGGATAAAAAGTGCAGTTTCCAAGTCATTAATCAAAGGTGAACTTAATGATCTAAAATGCAATTGAAAGTCAAAATTGTAGAACTGAACAAGAAAAAAATTAAGAGAGAGAAAAAATATAGTTTTGACAAGAGTACCTTCTGTGGACCGAATCACTTCTAGTCGAATCTCCATGGATGACCGCCCAACCCATGTAACAGCACCAACTATCTTTAAATCAGTATCAACATGGATTGGTTTCTTGAGAACTATCTTATCCACAGAAGCAGTGACCAGTAATAGGGGTCTTCTTGTGCTATCCTCATTTGAACAGTGCTGGTTCACAAAGGTTGAAGCAAAGATGAATTGCTTTTAGTAGTTGGGAGAAAATTCTAATTACATGATGGTCAACAGTTATCTGTCAAGATATGGTTGAGTCCGGGAAGTAAATTAAAATAATTAACCTTCCCTCTGAAGGCTTACTGATCAAAATAACAAGCTGATATATGCTCCATTAGATAAGCAGGAGGTTATGTACAAGACTACTATGGCTCAGTTGGATTATCTCTGCAAAAGTTAACACAATACTTGTATCTGATGATATTTAGTTATCTACGAAGTAGAAAATGTTATGTGAACCACAAATCTGGACCGAAGGAATCCCATCACCGAGCCTAGACGCTAGTTATACAAGCTGATAGTAAGAGAATCATCTCCCAATTACCAGGGAAGAGTCATTCTAAGCACCACTTAGAAATTTCATTACATAACTATAATACAAACTGTACATAGAAAGATGATCACACTTCTATGAAACAGTGTTACTATATTCTTAATGAACACTAACAAATAGCTGGCCTAAGGAAGCCGAACCGGTACTTACAACAAACTACAGAACTATTCAATCTCAATTGAAACCCATTTCATATAGTCCAGTTCAAGCACTACTATGAGTCCAAAATCAACAAACTTCAAAATGTGCACTGCAAATTATATGAAACAAAAGTTTCCATTAACCATAAGTTCCAAAAAGTCTTATTACCTTGAAGGATATGGTTCCTGCAAGAGCATCAAGGTCCTCAAGCAATTTCCCCATCCTGACCCCATTCCAGGGGTTCCTATACTGCTCTCTAAGTATATAATCAGATGAGAATTTGTAGTGAACACTAGTCCGGCTCTGTGAAGGAGTTTTCGTGATCAATTCATTCGGTAGAGGAGCTTCACTTGGAGCATTAGAAAGTCTTTCAAAAATGCTCGATCGAGCTTCCCATAGTGCATTTGTCACGGGTGAATGGTACATTCCTGGCCATAAACTGATTGGTTTTCGGATTGAAGAACCGGCATCAATTGGTGGAGAGCTCTCAGATGGTGAACTTACGGTGGAAACAACAGGGATTGGATTGGAAGGAGAGGAGTTACGTTCCACAAAGGAGAGTAACTTTGTGGCTGAGAATGGCCTATTCCAGGTAAATTTGGGTAGGATTGGCTCGAGAGTTTTGATGATGCGTTTTGATTTCGTAAACGAATCACCCAAAGGGGTATTGATAGTTTCATTGCTCCAAAATACATAACCTTTAAAGTTGGTTTTGAATCTTCTGATGGTGGGTTTCGGTAGGTTTAATGAATCATGCAAGTGGGTATTGCCATAATCATTGATTTGGGGCTTTGGATAAGAGACTAGATCACCAAATGTGGTTTCGTTGATGGGTTTTGATTGTTTTGATGAATTTGGCAATTGGGTATTGATGGGTTCTTTGTTTTGGGGATTTTGGTTGGGATTAAGTTGGGGTTTTGGTACAGACTGTGTTGAGGTTAGATCTGATGAGAGAAAGTGAGAAGCAAGTGTATGAAGTGAAGATGGTGATCTGGTGTTGCACAAAAAATAATTGGAAGAGGTTGGTTTGAAGAGGTGGTGAGAAATTGGAGGTATTGGTGGCTTCATTGTTTAAAGGAGGAAAGAATGTGATTATGGAACTCTGGTTATTGGTATCATGAGATTGGAAAGTCTTTTAAAAGGTTTTGATCCCTCAAAGGATGAGTTTATTTGATGAAGCAGCAGCAGCAGCAGCTGCTATGGTCCTAATTTTAGTTAGTTGGGCCCCTTCAGGGTAGGAAGAGGTTATTTGACTCTGAATCTTCCAGATATCACGCGCATCTTAGGCACGTTTTTTAACTACGATTCTATGCTTCCGAACAGAATATACAGTGTTTGTTTGATAGTTTAAGTACTCTAATTATTTAATTATTTGAACCTTCTAATGGTAGCCATCTGCTCTGTACATTTTTAATTAATGTTTACGATTGATTTTTTTCTTTTTTCTTTTTTCTTTTTTTTTTAAATATACCTGTTGTGTAAATATAGTTCACTTTGCATATTGTGCGAGTTTACAAAGTTGGGAGAAGATCACCGTACTTTATGTCTGCGTCAACTTGTGCGCCTTCATATTTCTCGAAAGAATTTGGCTCAGATATTATTTGTCACATTAAACCACACCATCCAAAAATTGTCCTTGTTTGCACACACCCTTTTTAACTAGTCACAATTTTTTTCTTCAAAATGTATAATTAAGAAATGTCCAATTATATAAATATCAACGTCGTCCGCATAATTTATTATTTTTCCCATTATTTCGACTTATGTAGTAGTTGAATATTGTTACAAACCCAATCATTTTTTAAGACAAATGCACCAAAAAAAAACCTAAAAAATTGTAAATAATCCTCTCGAATTATTAATTTGGCGCAAACCTTCACTTTGTGTGGCCTTGTTGCAATTAATTTTTTAAGGTCATTCATGTTAAAAATTGAATTCAAGTTTGCTAACTGATTTGACAGAACACAAGACATAAAACATGGGAAATATTTTATCATTATTCATGTTTCCTAACCGATTTGACAGAGAAACTCCTTAAATTATCACGATTTTGGTTTAAAGCAGGATAAAACAGTAGTCATGTCCTTGCATGTTACCTACTATAGAAGTGGTAATGTACTGATTTTTATGATTGTTGCATATGAGATGTTATTGGTTCGATAAGTTGCAAAGGAATTAACAAAATGCCTGTCTAATTATTTGACAAATCAGTGATTTGCCATGCACAATGATTAACTAATGTGATGGTCTTATAATTCTTATTTGCAATTTTTTTGGGTAGATTAGGTAGTTTTTGGTCATATCAAGGAGTTATTTGAAAAGGTGAGATAGTTACCGAGTTTTGTATTATTAATTTTTTTTTTTTGTTTTTGTTTTTGTTTTTGTTTTGTAATTTAGCATTTTTCATTTTGTAGGGGCAATTATGTAATTAAATTATTCTATTAATGGATTGGTGACAACAATGTTCTATTTGCAAGAACTTCTACTATAATTTAGGGATTTTTTATTTTATTTTAGTATAGGATGTAATACTCAAATGTGTTATACAACTTAATGGTTTTTTATTTTTATTTTTTTTTAACACATTTTGCCCTATTTTTTTTTACAAAAGGGGTAAAATCTATATAAAAACACTTCATTTTTAATTTAACATCAAACACTTCAAAAGTTTTACAATAACAAAGGGATTGTGACACCACCAACTAAGCTGATTTTTGTATAATTTTTTAATTCTTAATTCTTAAAAAAATGAAATTTGAACCAAACATGGCATAATTTTTATAACAAAATCAAACTTGTTTTAACCTGCCTGGTAATCAAGATTTATCCTAACAAAATTAAACTTGTGTTGACCTACCTGGTACTCAGTCCCGTAAGATTGGGATGGATTTGAGATCATTATTATCAAGTTAGGAACGAATTTAAAACCCGCAAAACTTTGAACTCACTCGATTAATAATAATTATATAAATAAACATTCTTTTATTAGTTATAGTTTTTATTTTTCATTCATTTTATTGATAATTTTTAAAATTCAACAATATTTTTGCTATTGTGATTGTTTTTATAGATTTTATTTTAAATTTGTTCAAGTTTGAATTGTTTTCTTAAAAAAAATGTATACTTGGGCACTGCAAACCTATTCCCGATGTGAGAATCTGAGATGAGACAGGGCGAGTTTGAGAAATTTTTTTTATTAATGGAATAGGTTTAGAGTAGGGGCACCACGTCCTGGTGACATCCTTACATGCCACATGATTGATTTAAATTTTGGATGTTCATTGTTCTCCTTCTTGTTACTTTTTATTAGTTTGTCAAGTTTAAATTATACATATGATAAACTATTTTATCTATTTACATTTTTTTTTTTGTTTTTACTTTCATATTTAACTTGGAGCTAAATACTAAAGTACAAATGAACTTCTCTGGGCAGGGCCCCAAGTTACAAACCTGTGTCCCTCAACACACGCAGCAGTAAATCGAGAGGAATAGATGGCTTGGGAAGAGTCGAACACCGGCCATTTCAAACCTAGTGCCAAGTTCCAACCATCACAGCTACCCTGGGGGCAAGTACAAATATTCTTAGTGGCATACAAATACTTAGTATGTTGATTAAAAGTGTTTGGTCCGAGCTCAATTTTGATTTTTGCAAATAAAGAACAGTTGACAGTAAATTCGTTTCTTAGTTTAGAGTTTATTGAATCGAAATAATATATATATATAATAATACTCCAATAATATATTTATTCAATTTTGATTTAATAGAGAATATAAATTATCATATATCACAAAACATGAAATATTCATAATTTAATTTTTTATAAGATTGCGAAGACATGAACCTATTGCTTTTACACACTTTGAGAGGTGAAGAAGTAATACTCCTACGAGGATTCATTTTAGCTTTATTTCATTCTAGAATTGAATAAAGATTAGTTACCTAGCAATCCCGTGTCGTGCACGACGTAAAGTCTTGTTTGGCTTGGCGCAATAAAAAAAAGAAATTTTTACATATAAATGTATTTATGAAGCCATATTTACTATTAGGTTAAGTCAAAGTCTGATAGTTTTAATAAAATGAGGTTAACCTAAATGCCGACGTGGACATGGAGTTTTACTGTTTATTTTAATTGCTTACCTAAAATACCCTTTTTTACTTTTGAATCAAATTACATTACTGGCCCTTTCTCTCTCCTCTTCTGTAGCTCGTTTTCTCTCTCTACTCTCTCCCATCAGACCAAAACTTCTTTTCTTCTCAACAGTCCCCTTTCGCTATGGACTCTCTCAGTCTCTCTCCACAAAGAAACCCAACAACAGAGGTCTTCTGTGACAACAGAAATTTGATACACCATATCACTCTCAATTCCTCCTCAATCGCCCTCATCATCAACCCCATACCCAACCTCTCAATCGTCACCTGATGACACGACCATGGATCACGATCTTGATCCGACCCACAACGAACGGCGATCACGAACGGCCTGAGACAGCAACGATTCCGGTCACGACGCTCCTCGAACCCAGTTCCACGACCACAGCGCGATCTTGATTCGACCCACAGCGAACGGCGGGCGCGACGGTCCGAGCTCTGCGGCGCCGCCTTTGTGGTGGTGGTGACTGGTGAACGCTATTGTGGAACATCGCGAAATCATGGATGGCCACCGCCGTTTTGAGCTCGCCACGTTGCGATGGTCATCGACCATCTCTCATGTTCTCGGTTATATATACATGTACATATATGTATTTACCCATATATATATATATATATAGATTTGGTCTTGATGAGAGAGAGTAGAGAGAAAATGAACTGCAGGAAAGAGAAAGGGGGTAGTAATGTAATTTGATTCAAAAGTAAAAAGGGTATTTTAGGTAAGAAATTAAAATGAACAGTAAAAACCAGGTACACATCAGCATTCGGGTCAACCTCATTTTATTGAAACTATCATACTTTGACTTAATCCTATAGTAAATATGGCTCCATAAGTACATTTATATGTAAAAATTCCAAAAAAAAAAAGCAAGTAACGAACCTTAACGAAAACTTGGTTGCCAACTAAAAATAAAAAAATAAAAAAAATGAAAAGACCGAAGAAATAACTGATTTGTTACTAAATTGAAAATTGGCAAATCGGCGCTTTTCTCTCCTTACCTTTTGGTTTTCTTCCATTTTCCCTTTTTGAACTCCTTGAATCAAAACTCTAATTCCTCTCTCCTTCCCTTCGGTGTTCTGGTTCCATCAAAAGGATCCTTCCTTCCATTTTTAAATTTTTAACTCTTTGAATCAAAACCCTAATTTGCGAAAAAAAAAAAAATCAAAACCCTAATTCCTCTCTCATTCCCTTCTGGTTCATCAAAAGGATCCTTACTTCCTTTTTTGTTCCATGAAAAATTCTATTTTTTTTTTTTACTTTTATATTTCCTTTTTTGAATCAAAACATAGCACTCTTGTTTTTCTTTTTGATCTATATTGCTGCCAAATTTTTTCTGCAATTCCTCTTTTCTTTGGCTCATAAAAAACATGCCTGCATTTTTTACTTTGCAATTCCTTCTTTGAATCAAAACCCGATGGTGATTAGATTCTTTTTGATTACAATTCCTTCTTTGCTCACTCACTAACTTCATACGTAAAACTATCTGAATTCACTGTATTGTTGTGTTCTTATTTGAAATGAAATTTTATCACAATAATAATAATAATAATAATAATAAAAAAGCATAAAAAAACCACTATCACATGTTAAGTTAGAAAGTTTCATGAACATGCTTAATTACTTAATAGGCCTAACTTGTGACCACATACAAAATGCTACATGTTTACCAAAAATAATAAAAAGGCCAATGGCTTTTTTGTTTTTGTTTTTCTTTTTTCCCCCAGTTATGAAGAAATCATACATTTAGTTATTCGTTTGATAACATATTGTTATTGAAAAAATAATGGCAAAGTTTGGTATTAATTGTCATTTGCTTGCTCACTATTTTCACCCTCAAAACAAGGTATTTATACCGTATTGTATAACTAATATCACATATAAATATATCTGAATTCACCAAATTATTACCATATTCTTAGTTGAAGTGAAATTTTACCAAAAAAAAAAATAAAAAAAAATAAATAAATAAATAAGAAAGCATAAAAAAAAAACCACAATCACATGTTTTAAAATTGTAAGAAATAATGATCTATAAGATTAATTTTGTACTCTTTAAAGGAATATAAGAATGACTTTAGAGAGTAAAGTGATCAAATCGGTCGACGAGTATCTTAACTCGGTTAACCAATTTAGCCAAATTGGCAAACCTATAGAATGTTTGCATTGACCGAGTTGATTTAATTTTTTAATACATATTTAAGAATGACTTTAGAGAGTAAAGTGATCAAATCGGTCAACGAGTATTTTAACTCCGTTAACCAATTTAGCCAAATTGGCAAACCTATAGAATGTTTGCATTGACCGAGTTGATTCAATTTTTTAATACATATTTGAAGCACGGATTTTATTTAATTTCTCATTTCCTCTCTCTCCGCGACAAGGTTCCCTTCCGCGAGCATCCATTCTTGACTGAAGGTTAGTTCAAAACCCTGCTTAAATAAATGATGGAGGAGCCCTTGGTTATTTGTTTTGTTTTTTGAGGAAGAAAATTTGATGTGGAATTCAAATTTATTTTATTTTATTGTAATAAGTTATAAATTATGCCAAATATAAAGCCTTACATTGTGCATCGCAGGAGACTGTTGGGTCCCGTATTAGAAAGACAAGTTGCCCTTCGCTTAGGGCATTCGGACTGTTCGCGCAAAACCTAAATACCACTGTAGCAGCGCCGATCACCCACCAGGTATGTTGATTTTCTAGGGTTAGGGTTTTCTGCTCCCCCATCTGTCTCTCAACTAATCCTTCCTTATCTCTTCACTTTCTCTCTCATCAAAAACCCTCCACACCACCATTGGTTGCTTTTATTCTCCTGTTTTAATCCCCAAAGTTGGGTGTTTTGGTTAATATATTGTGATTGATATTCGGGAATCAGGTGAACAAGTTGCAGATTCAGGACAGAAGATATGAGTGGAACAGCAGAGAAAGGTTCTGGAACAACAAAAACGCCAGCTGATTTTTTGAAATCGATTCGTGGCCGACCTGTTGTTGTCAAATTGAATTCTGGTGTTGATTATCGAGGTTAGTGACTTTAATTCTTGTTTTTACTCTTCTGTTCTCATAATTTGTATCTGTTTCCTGTCACAATTTCTTTACCATCTGTGAATGTAAGGGTAATTTTTCACCAGTATTCTTACTGCTTCACAATCTTGTTTGGTGTTGGAAGTTCAACATAGGAAATACTACCTAGTCAATCTGTGTTAGGTTTGTTGAGAAAGTTTCTCTTTTCAGAATAATGAGGATACATGGCATTATATGTAGAACTTTTACACAAATTGCCAAGTCTCCACAGTTGATGAATTGGGCTTAGGTTTTGGACTACAGCTAAGCTGACATGTTAAAGACACTAGCTTAACAAATTTAGAACTTCAAAGTTGAAGAAAGAAGAGAAAAAAACTTAGAATCCCATGAAATCACACTTGGCTTCTCAGTGCATGAGAATATTAGCTACTGGCTCCAAGGTGTTTCTTTGTTCTGTCCTTTATTTGCCAATACATCACTTCTGTATATGATTACTAACAATTAAACTTCAAATCCTCAAGAATAGGTTTGGACCTGTGAAACCCAGAGATTATATAATGGAGCTAGAGTCTTTTGGATGCTATTGGTCCTTAGGTCTTTTTTTTCGTTCTTGTATTAGGGACGCGTTACCCTTTTGGACGCTTTTCTAATATACTTATTACTTATCAGAAAAAAAAATTATACATAACGGAGCTAGAGTACTCATACATTGCTAAACTGACTTGTGTCCAACCAAGGAGCCCATTACTGAGAAACATATCTAGAAAATCTAACCTATGCATAGTTATTTAATTGGAAATAAGTTGCAGATATTGTTCTTTAATCATTCTAATTTATAATTCAAAGCTAGGACAAGTGGTTAGGAACAGGAACATTCATACAAGTTCTAATGCCAAACCAATGTAGAATAGCTATAGGAGACTTAAAATAAAGTATATAACTGTACTTGCTTGATTTCGCTTTCCCCCAAAGTGTTTAGCTACTCCTTGTGCTTGTTTCTCCTAAGAGTCGCTCTGATTCTCTCTCTGTTTTACAAATGGTTTTCTTTTACTTTATGTAAAACCCTATTGCAGATAAGGAAAATTGTTATACTAGGGTAAGGCTAGATCCGGTTTGGCCACAGGTTTACCTTACCCAATCCAACTGTCTTTTAAATTTTCATACATTTTTAGCTATTAAAATTTTAATTTAAGATTTCAATTTGTGAACTTATCTTTCCTTTTTCTACCTTTTTTTGCAAACATTTGTTAACTTTTACCCTTCCTAAAGAAATTTCATCTTCCATTGCTTTTTTCCCAAATGAATTCTCTTTTTCCATTCTATTATATTATATGCCGTGTCTCCCTATTGTTTCTAGAATCTCCCTCACATTTTGATTAGTAACTCTATCTTTCCTAGTCACTTCTATCATCCACCTCAACATCCTCATCTCAGTTATGTGAATGCGTTGTCTTGTTTCTTTTTTAACACCGAACACTCTGCTTCATGTAATATGGTTGGCTGTTAGCTGAATGACCGTTGTATAAAATTTTCCTTTTAACCTGTTTGGTATTTTTTTTTTATCACATAGAATATCACTATCATGCCTCCATTTAGTCCAACCTACTCCAATTCTACTAGTGATATCATCATCTATGCCTGAGCGGGGTGAAGCCAGAGGAAACCCTGGTGGAGGCCCGCAGTGATACTGCCTTGTGAACTTATGAGCCTCAATTTGTTGCGCTGTTACAAATGTTATAATACTTGTTGGTTGGTCAGTGTTAGCCACTCTTTGTTGTTTTTACTGATGCTAAAACCAATTGCCTTTGTTGGATTGCTGAGGAATCCTCCTTTTGAACTGTTTACTTGCTCTGGGCTCTACTCCCTGTCTTGGATGGGCCAAATTGTCCTTTCAGTCTTGAGGGTCTGGTCAGCAGTCAGCTGGCAGCCTTTTCACAAGTCTTCAGTCAATGCCTCGTAATCTGTCTCCGAGTAAAAATTGTCATACACCACTCATAGGTACTCACTTTGTTCACCTAATCCATGACCATGCAAGGAGGATACCTCATAGTCTCCTATAGTCATACTCGTCGACTGTCACAGACTTTTGGACTAACTCAGTAAACTGAGTAGCCTTCTACTCTTACATTATCTTTGGAAAGTAAGTTCCTGTGGAACCTCTCCTTGAAGACCTTCCGGCTCATTTCTGAGATCCTCAATCCTAGTAAATGGTATTTGTTTGCCTTTCATTCATTTTATTTTAGTTGCGGTAGCTTCTGCATTAGCAAGATTGGGCGAAGCCAAAGTTTGACTAAACAAGCAAGAAAAGCCCTTTTTATCTTATAGTAAATCCACTAAATCGTAATCGTAAAGGGCGGACGATTAAGAAAATGGATTCACTAGTGCGCAATGGCTTTTGTGCAGCTCAATCCGTTTCTGGCTGCCTTAGCTTATTATATTATATATATATATATAAGGCCCTTCTTTCTCAAAGTCAAGTTTCTTGCTTCTTGCTTTAGTTTCCAATAAGGCTCATGCAAGGGTGTTCACGTTTTATTTCTGCAACTATTCTGACACTAGTCCACTTACCACTTACAGATTTTGACATTGGGATGGAGCAAAATCTTGCTCGGAAGATTTTATTGGGCTGCAACTGTTGTACTTTTCTTATCGTTGGGCAGGCTGTGTTCCACAAGTTTGGCAACGTGAGTTTGAGTCTCTGAGTACAACAGTTGCAGCCCAATAAAATCTTCCGAGCAAGATTTTGCTCCATCCCAATGTCAAAATTCGCAAGTGGTAAGTGGGCTAGTGTCAGAGTAGTTGCAGAAATAAATTATGTTTAAAACATTGGCGAACGAACCGAACCGGATTCGGTTTTGGAAGAGGCCGGTTCATGAGAGCCGGCCCAAATCAAAACCCTAAATCTGCTCTGTCAAATCAAAACCCCAAATTGGAAGAGAGTTTGAGAGAGGGATCAAGAGAATGAGAGGGACTTAGAGAGGAAACCCCAAATTGGAAGAGAGTTTCTCATGCACCTCCCGAGTTTTAATTTGCTCTAGCTATCAGTCACGATTGCCTCTGTTATTATTAAACAGAGAAAGAAAGTATACGGAGAGAGAGTAGAGAGAGAAAATGGTGATTTGATCCGCTGACTTCTGGCCTGCAGTCCCTCCCTGTATAGAGAGAGTATAGAGAGAAAATGGTGCTTTAGGGGTGTGATATCATCCATTGGATCAGATCATTCAACGGTTAAGATTTGAATGAGTGTTTCATTTCGGGTTGGGCTCGAGCCCAACCCGAGACAAACCTGGTATGAAGTAGGGGTGCAAGTTGGGCAGGCCCAACGCCGAGACCAAACAAGAATCGGGTTCTTCAGTAACTCGTACCCGAATCTTGTTGGGTTCAGTGTAACCCATAAGTTTCACTTTTAATTAAAAATAATAATAAACAAATAAAAAAACTCGCTGCTTAACACGTGCTATAGCAACCGATGTAGTAATAGTAAAGTTTAAAAGAAGTTTTAAGTGAGTGACAGCTGTGTTTAGGCTGTAAGCCACATTTAAATGGTAACTTTTGTTAGGTTTCAGGCCAAAAGAATTAAAAATTATAAAAACTTTGGCGTAAAATACACGCTCCATCAGCATACAAATATGGAGGCATACAACGCGTGTTATGAGTCATCACCTACCTTCAAAACCCTTTTCGACAAACCAGTGAACCACCATTTTTGAACCAGATGCGAAGGTTTCTGTCGTCAGCCGTGTCCAGCAGGAAAGTTGAAGACCGACACATATCTTGTGTCCGTGTCCGTGTCCGTGTCCGTGTCGACATGGACACCCTCGCCAGTTCCGGCGAGTCCAGGTAACACAGCCTCAAAGCCCTTCTTTGAGTCCAAAACTCACCCATCTGCCCCTCTAATGGTTCCTCAACTCATCTGAGAGAAGGCAATCGATGCCTCTTGGGCTTCTAATTAATCCTCACAGTTAGATCCCTCCTGATGCATGGGGACCTCTACTCTCGCTCCCACCCGTTGAGCAGCACATTCCAAAATCCTGACAGTGTCACTAAAGGCTCTACGTGACTGTCAACTCAGCTACATGGTATTTTAGTCCATACTTCCAATTCCCTATCTGCCAAACCACCAACAGTTTGGGTCTTTTTAATTCAATAAGAACACACATGTCATTTGTCTTATATTTAACTGGAAACAGAGTAAAGATTATCATGTTAAACATAATACCATGCTAAAATCTCTTTACGATTCTCTAAATAATCCCCTAACTGTGGATTATGTTTATCTGTTACTTTACCTTGAGCTTGTGGCAGTTTAGTAGCTAGGGCATTGGTGGGTACGAGTAGAATTCCCTATTCAGCTAAGTTAAGAGGTTTAAAGAGCCTAGAGTGACACTGATTTTTGGAACGTATGCAGAAGTTTTCTTTGCAGCATGAGGGATTAGGCCCTACGCTAAGGCTGATTAGAGAGCTGAAGACACTTGGATTGTCTCCTTTTAGTGAAGCTGGTGATCTACCAGTGGTGAATAGGTGGATTTTGGACTTAGAGAAGGCCTATGAGGTGATGCACTGCATTGAGGTGTAGAATAGGAAACTGGGATATTCCTTCTGATTTGAAGGACTTATTGCTGGTGGAAATTGTTGACTATGACTGTGGATGTTACAGAATAAGCTAGGAGGTCCTCAAGGGGAGTTTTTACAAGAGGTACTTTTTAGGTTGAAGATAATGAATAGGGTTAGACTGTGCATGCCCGCATACAGGTTGGCTTAGCCCACCCGGGGCTATTTTTGTTGGGAGGTGCCTAGCACTGGAAGTTTTCTATTCACCAATCTTGGGGTACAGTTGATAACACAACTAAGACTGCCGATGTATCTTAATTCACATATACCATGTAGATGTTATATAGGTATATAGAATATCATATCCCGAATACTTGCTTCATTTTAAAATACAAAACAATGTAGGGACAGATTAAGAAAGTATCTTTGTTAACATCTAGATAAAGCGGAACATTTACAGTTGTCCTATTCTTTTAATGCTTACTGCTTACTGTATGCATCAGATGGTATTGTGTTTTTGGACTCACCAATGTATATCAGGCATGCAAATGCTATGGTTTTTCTCTCTTCTTGTCCTCTCTACACTTTGATAATCTTGTAAAAAGCATGTCTAATTTGCTCTAGATTGCTGGCCTTTTTAACTTTGTTCATTTTTTTATGCAGGTATTCTTGCTTGTCTGGATGGATATATGAATATTGCTATGGAGCAAACTGAAGAATACGTCAATGGGCAGCTGAAAAATAAATACGGTGATGCGTTTATTCGAGGAAATAATGGTAATTGGCAATTATAAGATTATCTTCTCAATTGCCATCTTGTATGAATAAAGATTCTTCATTTGTCAGGAAAATAAAATTGCTATCTTGTTTTACCATAGAATTGATATGGCTATGACTAGGAGTTTCTCTCTTTCTTAATGCAGTGCTTTACATCAGTACATCAAAGAGGACACTGGCAGATGGTGCTTAGGCTCGAGGTTTCTAAGCAGTTCATCTTTAATCACGTCCATCATGACTAGCAATATTTGTAGATTATGTGGATTGCGGAAATGACAATGAGATGCCAGTGAAATATTTGTTAAAAGCATAGGAGTGACTCCTCTTTTCATGAAAGATCGATTGTCAATGCCTTTTTAATGTCAGGCATATTGAAATTGATCCTTGTATGATTACTGCCTTAGCTATGCTAGCATTTTGGTAGTGCTGCTTTAAAGAATTGATCCTTGTACTATGATTTATTGCCTTAGCAATGGCAGTATTTTGGAAGTGCTGTTTTAAAGACATTAATAGGTCATTGCACTGTACATCATAGAGTGATTATTTTTTTCTTGCAGCAGTCAGTTTTATTGCAGGAAAAGAAAATGTCATCTGAATCCGTTTTGGCTGGCATGAACTCTCATACCCCAAAGAAAAGAGGGAATGGAGTTGTAATACAGGGACGGGACACATCCTACTGCATTTATGTAAGTAGACTGCATTTATGTAAGTAGGAGATGATATCACCGCTGTCATTCATTATGATTGATAAAGTCACGATGAAGTTATCTCCCACTCATTATTCTAGAGTTGGATTACTTATCGTTTTCCAAGGGAATTGCAAAAATTATTGTTGGTGCTTTGTAGCAGGATGGAGGTCCAGACTTAGGGATGTTAATTTCTTCCTTCCGACCCGTGGGTTTTCTCCCCATCCTTGACCCTAACGGGGTGGATTTGGTGTTTACCTAAATGAGTTTGGGATGTATATGGTAAAATAATTGAAAACCCAAAGCGGGTTTGGGGCGGGGGTGGATTTAGTGATGAACTTGTCTGACTCCGCCTTGATTATATATGTACCTTTTAATATATATATATATATATATATATATAAAATATTTTTAAGACTTTTAAAAGTGGTCGTTAATATATTAGTAATATTTATTATTTAGTAATTAAAAAGTTGGGTCAATTTATTTATTAGCCCAATTTGAATACATTGGGCAATTTTTTTTTACCACATAATAAAAGGTGCATAACTTGACTTGTTCCCACTGTGCCCTGCAATTAAACGGAATATATGGGGCGGAGTCGGAATTTTGTCTACCGGAGTAAGGATGGGGATGGTATAACAATTACAAATCCGTTCCAAAGTAAAGACGTAGTTAATAAGATAGATTTTCTACTGAGGTGAAATAGGGTTTAGCCAATTCCGTCCCGTTGTCATCCCTTGCTTGCTGCACCTTGTCTTAATGAGGTACTTTCTTAACGAGTTAATTGCTTAGCAATTCATAAGATAAACAAAATTTTGGCTAGATAAGTTAGGTTAAGGCTGACCTAAAGGAAAAGGGGAATTGAACCAAAACACCTCTGCTTTGAGAATGATGATTCTTGGCTCACTTTCTCAGCCAAACTGTCACTACATTCCTTTATGTTGCGTGTTCATGAGCATGGAATCAGCTCCTTCCTCCTTTTAATTGTGCCCTGGAATTGGAATTTGAGAAAAAAAATAGTTTAAAAGGGAATTAATTTTTTTTCCAATGAGACTTTCAGGCTACCAATTCCATGGTTTCAAGTGTAGTCTAAATACAGTTTTAGAGTTAACAACTGAAATCCACAGATACAGAGTAATGCATTGAAGAATTTAAATTATCAAATATGTATAAGCAGTGTGAAGGTCAGCTTTGAGGACTGAAATTTTAGTCCAAATAACATCATGTAGGCGCTTTTTTATTTTATTTTATTTTTTTTGCTCGGTGTTTGGTAATCCCAAAACCAAATAAAATATTTTACAAAGTGAAATAATTTCGAAACCCTAACAAAAACAACTCCCCATAAATCCTCCGTAAATCATTTTACGAACCTCTTAATCTCGACCTCGGATCTTGTACCTTGCTTCTACGAACCTCTTAATCTCGACCTCGGACCTTGTACCTTGCTTCGAAACCCTCCTCTCTCTCTCTCTCCCTCTCTCTCCATGCCATAGAAGTTTTCTCTTTTCAGACCATAACAGAGTCTCTCTCTCTTTAATCCAGATTGACTCTCTCCACACCGTAGAACTTTCTATCTTCAAATCAGACTCTCTTCACACCATTGACCTTCGTGGTTATAAAACCCTAGAAGGAAGTTTTAAATCCCATCTTCCTCCTCTTCAGGAACAAGTATGAATTACCTATCTATATAAATTTTTAATTTTTTGATAAATTATATCAAAATCTATAAAGAACACATAAAATATATGTATAAATTACATTAGAATGTGAAAATGGCACTCATTATAATTTAATTACTTGACCCTTGACAAAGAACAAACCACTAATCATTTATCATATCTTTCTTTCGTTTGAAGTAAATTTGAACATGTTGGATGAGTTTAACATTATGCAGCACTCCATGCAAAGGGGAGGGATACAATCAACACAGTAAAATAGTAAAATGAAAATAAATCCTCCAAAGAAATGCACCCAATTACAAGAAGAAATGCGCATATTTATGTATAAATTCAACCGATATGCGCCATACATTTAATTTAAATTCAAACTTACATAGGCACATCCTCATCATGGATTTATGTATAAATGTAACAAGAAACCACAGATGAAGACTTTTATTCCCGTTTCTTACATTTTTACAGTTTCTACTTTGTTTATGCATAAAGCCAGCCAGCTGAATATTGGCTGAACACTTCTATGAACAAACGAAGTACATATCGAGGTCACAAAAAACCCGACCGTCGAGATGCAAATGGCCCGAGTGAAATCTTTGCCGCCAACACTTTGCTAACCAACAGTTTCCATTTTGCCTCATCTTTCTTGCACTGCTGCTGCATTTTCTCCTTAAAATGCCTAAGACCATGAAAAGACAGGACAGCGTTACCATCATATTTACCACATTTCAAATTTCCCGCAACATTTCATAGGACAGGAGTATAGATTTAAAGAGGGGACAACTTCTAAAAGGAAATGAGAGAAATAATTCCGCCATTAAAAGGATATAAGATTAGTATGGTATTATCAAAACCAATTCCTTGTCTTATAAATCAGCCGTCAGTAGTATCAGAACTTGTAAAAAAGAGGAGCGAATCAAAAATGCAATTTATCATATTGTAACATTCTTAGTTGATTCTGGAAAAATATGAAAAAAAAAAAAAAAAAAAAAAAAATCATGATTACTGTATTCAAAATCATGGGATGAAAAATGTACCATGTTTTGAATCATGCAATCTAAAATGTATGCTTACCTGCAAAGAGGAACCTTGCAATAATCAGGCGCATTACACATGCGGGAATGCAGTTCAAGAAGCTGCCACATGCGCTTGCAGTGCACACATCCACCAGGGACCCGGGTCTTACAATTGGAGAAATGGCGGACTAAAGTCTCAAGCCCCTTGCAAGCTGGGAAACTGCAAACAACCTGGCTTCCTTTCAGCACTTTGTCACGGGGCCCAATTGTCCTGCAACCATCCCTGCATATGTGAAGTAGGGCTTCCATTGCCTCATGTAGTTGTAAGTATACCATCTTCTCTTCAATTTTCTTCAACCTCTCTTGTTTTCTCTGAAAAGAAGAAATGAAATTAACATTCCAGTTTCCAAGATCCTACAAAAAAAATGTAGCCAAAAAAATCAATTCAGTGATACCAGACACCTTATTGGCCTAGATTCAAATGTTTTCTGCACTGCATCTTTTGACGTACTACTTTACCTCCTTGCAGGCATATGCATTTTGGCGTGTGTCTATATCATGAAAAAGAATTACAAAACAGTAACATTTCTTGTACTGGCTAGTCCTAAGGAAACTGTACACTTAAAACTCATTTTTGATGGCCAAAAAGAAAGATAAAGCATACAAAGAAATTAAAGATATTATAGATTATGAAGGGAGTAAGCATAGGAATTAAGAATATAATACGGGAACAAAAACATCAGTAAGAAACCAAAATCCCAGTGGAAACAATAGAAGTTAAAATTTACTTATTGGCAAAGGAAAAAAGAAAAAAAAAAAAAGCAAGAAGAAGAAGAAGTAATACTTTTTTCCAGAACAATGAATTCCGAAGGGGTAAAAGAATGAATATAAAAAATGGGAAAAAACTAGATGTTCCTAATATTGAAAATTTACTTAGTATAACCAAAGAACTTATGGATAATTTTAAGGCTAACCACAAAATCACCAAGAAAAATATGGTTTGCATGCATGACAAACGTATTTTTTTATTCAGTACTCTCAGAAAGTGATAAATTTTCTAAGTCAAACCCAGGACTTTGCTATAATTCTTACTACATACACCCCAAATGCAAGCGTTCTCCACGGATGAAGCAATAGGTTTTCTTAAAGCCAATTAAAAGATGATACACAAAAATCTACCAAATATTTCAATAAGTTATGTAATGCTGTGACTTGGTCCACCTACAAGACATGCCATTGCAACAGATTCAGCACAACCAGGGGCAGGTCATCATTCAAACCATGAGTACATAAGCACTGAAACTTGCTCCAAACAAAGAAAACTAACTTACGGAATCTGCTTCAACAACTGACTCTAAAAGCTCTTGCTCAAGTGCAGGATTAACACGCCTCATTATTTTCCATCCTTCAGTGGAAGATATGGTTTTGAAGTCCCTCACAACAATACGAACACAAATCAAGGATAGCCGGGGTGCATCACAGTTTCTCGCTAACTGAAGCACATCTACCACATTTTCTGTGGTCAGCCAGTTCTGCTCCAAAAAGTGTGCACATAATTTTTTAAGTGATGGTACTGAGAAGGAGTGTGACAAAACCAATAAATGAAGAACAAACTTCTTCATCTCTTCTTCTTCATAGCTGCATTATGATATGAAAGGAAATGCAAGTTGAGAATCATTGAAAAAGACCAAGGTGGCATTGACACAAACTCATAAAACCACAAGGGTATTAGAAATAGAAAGAAAAAATCCATCCCTACTACTACTAATTTAGCTGGAATGGAAATGTAGAACTTCAGTGCTATATATTGTATTCATTCATATTTTAAATAGTGAAAGACAATTCAGTATAAACCCCAGAATTTCCCATAGCTTGGAATGAAATTACTTAAATATTTGAAATCTATGTTGCATGGACTTGGTTATGCATGTCAGATTTATCAATTTCCAATCCAAGGACATGGGGATGTGTTTAAATATTTATATTATTTAATGTTTTTAGCTTTATTATAAAATAATGTTTTATGTAAGACAGAGTGTTCAACATAGTCACTTCACTCGTTTTGAATCAAAATGTAAAAAAATGAATATAGTAGTCAAGTTTATGTACGGCAATATAATAAACTTGAATTAGTTGATATTCTTCTTGTGTACATCTCATAAATATATCATGTACCCATGCAGATGGTATGGGCACTTCACATATTTTCTTTGAAGTTCACGTAACATAGTATGAAATATGTTATGAGGATTAGAGCTAAATGTTGGATTTACCAAATGCTCAAACCCAAGTATACAAGACACATCTACATATTCATAGTTTTAATATTATTATTAGTATTATTTTTATTTTATAAAAAAAACAATGTTTTGACACACATACCATCCATACGACAAAAGGAACACAGTAAGAAGTCTTATCTACAGCAACATAAAACAACTCGAATTATCAGATATGTACATTTTTTACCAAAAATATCTCTTATCCATACCTAAGTGCCTTGTGTCCGCCACAAGAACTTCAGGCTTTTAGAAGAGTCCATGTAACATAGATTTAAATTACAGACCGTGTCATTATTGAAACATCATAGTTATTATGAAGGAAGCTTCGTTTGTTAATCATTACCCTGGGCTGTTGTCAAATGACTCAAGTCTTTGATAAGGAACAACCACACAGATAGTTATCTGTACAACTGATCTCACCATAGCTTCTTGTATTGATAGTTAGCTGTAAAACTGATATCACCGTAGCTTCTTGTAATGACATTGCAGGTCTATTAACTGCTCAATACTGAGGGATTCTAGCACTATTATGTAGTACCATGTGCACGGGTGGGATAAGTTTAAATTTGATGGAGTCAAGACTAATGTCTTCTACAAGACTAGCAAATCAACAGAATTTCATGCCACTTATCCTAATAAGTTTACAAGAAAATAAAACATACGGATGTCAAATTAATGCTTTGATTTGGCACTGAGGCAATACCAAACTAACAAAAAAAATTAAGATAGACAAATGAATGAAGCGAGAGACTTCCAACATACCAAGATGAGTAAAGAAAACGTATGAATGCATAGACAGCCTCACAAGGTACCCCAGGAATCTTAATGCATCTGATACCATTTTTTACTATTGATTGCTGCAGAAAATTCCCCAGTACTGTTGATGCAGCACTCTGCACAAAACCAAAATTATAGGTCATAAGTCTTTTGCTGCGCATCCTTGCCCCCACCCAAAAAATAAAAAATAAAAAAATAAATAATCAATTCATATATCTCTTGGAAAACACTTATACAAGAATAAATAAATACAAATTTCAGCATAGCTTCAGCTGATATCATTTTAGAATTCAACAAAATTTCTTAAGAACAGTATTTAAACACTTGCATAAAACATGTCATTTTAAGCAAAAATATATATACCCTTCAAACAATAGTCTACAATCAAAACATGAGAACAAAAAACGATATTATAAAGGGCAAAGAAAATTTTGATTTACTCACCAGAACAATGGAATGAGCTGGAATAATTGCCCTATTCTCTGTAAGAATATAGACATCTGCTCCCCAACTTTCTTTGAAGAGCTTGTCCCATGTATCTTTTGTTTCCCTTGGGACAAAGCAACGCTCTGCAGGTCTTCTGGGGTAATTGGTTCTTGAACAAAATTTAGCAGGGAAAGGAGGAGGTTTTGGGATATTGCGGTTATGGAATATAGAATTGGTGGGAACTTCCAGAAAAAAACTGTTTGCCGAGGCCCCTTCCTCTTTGTATATATTAAAAGAGTAATTAAAGGTTTCGACATTAGAGGATGAACAGGGGGAATCAAAATCAGGTGAAGCCATCAACTAATGCTATATAAGTGAAACTGACTAAAACTTTCTGTAATAACTGCGTAAAGAAACAAAATGAGATTAGAAAACTTGCTAATTAAAGAAAGGTCTAATATTTACTGTGTTTATTCATATGAATGCGTTAGTAATAAATTTAAATAAGCCGAACATGATATCATGGTTGGATCTTTTTCCCATATGCAATCTGAACATTCATACAGGAATTGGGCAGGAAAACTAAATGTATAAAACAGGAAAAGAATCAATAACAGAAATCCTTCTTAATAACTTGCGGTCTAGACCAATCACTCAAATTGGTTTAGGGGAAACCACTTTGAAATTCCTTGCTCTAAATTCAGAAGTTTTTCCAATGCCCATTAGAATCATTTCTGGGGAGTCTTAAATGATCGGGCACATGCATAAGATCTCAAGCCATTCTTTTTAGTACTAAAAAATTAACAAACAAATAATAAGAATAGTTGTGTCTATCTAGGATCTAGCACCCACTAATATAATGAATTTGATCGATGAATGAATTTAACTAATGGTTAGAAATATAAAAACATATCATCTTCACCAAATTTGCAATAAGATAACACGTGTTAGAAAGGAATTAGTGTATAATATAAAAATATGTAAAGGAATAAAACACAGCCTTTAAAAATATAAAATAATTAATTTGCATAGACAGAACTCCGCACCAGACTAACCCATTTCCATTAAACAATCACAAAGAAAAAACCCACTTTTTTCTAAAATAAAGGAAAGTTGTAGACACAAGAAAAGCAAGATCCAAGGTTTCATTTTTTAAATAAATGAATATTAATAGCACAACAACAACAGATCATACTACTCATGAACTAGTAGATAGAGATGATATTACATTTTCCCAAACAATTTCAAAACAATTTAAGTAATGGATTTGCACCAAAAATCAATCAGATGGTCCAATTGATTGCCCAGGAAACACAACAAATCAAGAAATTAGTTGAGGTTGCAGTATCACTTACAAGATTCCAATTTTCATTTCTCAATCCAAAACTCACACACAAACACACACATAGAGAGAGATTTAAGGAATTCTGCAAGCATACCTTCAAACGATCAATCTGCAGATCTCCTTGAAAAAAATTCGAGATTTGTGAGATTGACCAGAGTTTCAAAGTAGATAGATATACACTAATGCTCTAGAGCTATTTAACCTGAAAAGGGGAAAAAAAATAAAAAAAAATAAATCTGAGAATAACCATCCAAACAATAAAATTTCAAGATCAATCGTGGTCATGAAATTAAAAAATGTGCAGTACAGGTCAATTGAAGAAAATAAATGAAGTATTGAAATTCATCGAATACAGAGACTGAATATGCACTGATTTTCTCAAAACTCTATCATTCTCTTTGAGAATGTATAAAGCAGAATCGAAGCCACAACAAATTGAATTTAAAATCGCGAAAGAAGAAATCAAATGCTGCGAATTGAAATGAAACAGTTTGAATTACCTGATCGACTACTCGACTGATATATATATACACACACGAGACATATATGTGTATATATGTATTATGTATATGTATGTAGTGATTGATTAGAACTTGTTTAGTGAGAGCTGTGAATCAGGTACTAAGACACTATACTTCTCTTAGCGAAGTTTTAAGGCACATCGTTTTAGAGAGTGTGTATGGGGGGTTTTAGAGAGAGAGAAGGGGATGAGAGGCAGACGTGTGTGAGAAAGAGGACGCAAAACTAGTGGCACGAGTCTGTCATGCAATATTGCAATGGGAATGGACAGAAACGGGAAGGTACGCCCCAACCTTACAAATTTATGTATATTTATTAGGAGATTATAAATACACTCCATTTTTAATATATATGTATGTTTAAAGTGAGATTATTGTAATTGATCCAAATTTATGAAATTAAGTTTGTGGTATTTATGTTATTGAGTTTTAATATTAAAATAGAGAAGAAGTGCATTTATGAATAATTGAATTACATTTATTATTTTCCTATTTAGTTTATTTATTAAACAGTCTTTAACAAATTGTTTACGGAAGAATTTGGGAGATAAGAGCTTTCGAACTGCATTCCTTACTTGAAAGGTGTCTGTCCGCAAAAAAAAAAAAAAAATCTTTAACAAATTGCACTATTTTTTACTTTCTTTATTTTTTCTTCTCTTTTCTATGAGAACAAATCTCATTCCTTCTTCTAGTGCTAGCCCAAAGCACAACTGTTTTGACATCTACAACCACCAAATAAAATAAAATAAAACAAATAAATTTCACTTTTAAAGTTTGTCAATCTCTCACATAGAATCGCGACTATTAAACTTGATTATGATAGCGTGTTATTTTATCATTTTGCATACGAAATATTTGCTATCATTTTTGATAGTAGAAGGGCAAAATTGACATTTTATTACTTTTTTAATGATATTGATTATGCTTGTCTCCGACATATGCCTAATTGCCTGAGAAATTGTTACATAAACTAAAACCTCAAAAAAGTAGGTGGGATTATAAAACTAAAAGAGGTCTATGTGAGATATTGACCTCAAAAAGCAAAAAAAAAATGCTGCAAATATTATTACTGCACGGTGATGTAAAAAAATTTACAACCCCCTCTAATTCATGTTAAACCTTTCTTTTTATTCAATTTATTTTAATAGAAATATCTTAATTGAACCGAACCAGCAAGTATCAACGATGAAGAACCGTCTAAAAACAATTTATCTTTTTTTCAGAAACTTTGTGTTTGTTTGTTACAATTATTAGATCGAGGGAGTAGGAAGCTCTCCCCCTTCCTTTGTTTGACTCCCAGACATCTTCACTCCTAAGAAATTAGTTTGAAGGCAATCTTTGTTTTCAAATGATGGTTATAAGAATCACTACTACCCCGTGTTTAAGGGGTTTTTAGGATGCCTTGCTCTTGCATCAAAATAGCTGTAGTATAAAAAAGAAAAAGGTTACTCATGTAAGAAGGTACCTTACTCCTTAAGTTGCCCCTTGGATGTATAGTAGTATAAGTGAACCCTTTACTCCATTCCTTTTTGAATGGTAGATATTATTAATTCTTCAATTATTCAATTCTTTTTTCTTTTTTTTTTTTTAAATTTATATATATATATATATATATATATATATATATATATATATATATATATTTTGCTTAGTCAAATACAATCTTCTTTGTTTAATTGTGGTAAGATAATTGCTTCACAAAATTGCACAACATGACATTTTTTTTTTTTTTTAATTATTTTTTATTATTTATTTTTATTTGGTAAGCAAACATTCATGTCTTCACTGAATTTGAACCTCTAATTTTCTTCTAAGAAGTACAAGTTTGGTATCATGTGTAAGACATATATATTGGGAAGATTGTAAAAAATATATATTCTGTAATTGGCAACTTTCGATGTCAAAACAAGTCCTTGTCGAGTTGTAATTCGAGTTACCATATCCGGATCGACAGCAACTACGGAATTGGAAGGTTTTTCAAAGTTACCATGATTGAAATCATTCGAGACATGTAAGAACAATACTTTAGGAAGGAATCTAAAAAGGTTAGGCCACATTCCTTATTTGGTAAGTTTCAGAATATACCAAAAACAGTGCCTAGAACCTTAGGAATCAAGTCTCGCAGATTTGAACCTGTTCATGATTCTTGGAACAGGTTCAAGCGATTTGAATGTGGCCTAGAAAACATTCTGTCATTTTTGAACATGTTTCCAATTCTTTGAATAGGTTCAAGTCTTCAATATTGGTCTCGAAATACATTCTGCCATCCTTGAACCTGTTCCAAATTCTTTGAACAGGTTCTAGAATCTTAATAACCTATGGAAAGTTTAGTTTCCTGTTCCTGATTTCTTTCTTAGTTGGTTTAGAAGTGTTTCAAGTCTTATGCACGAATTTTATCATATTTTCAAATGGACTAGAACATTTTAAACTCTATATAAAGTGTGTCATACACATAGGTTTATGGGTGGCTTTTGCATAAAAAAAATACAGATCTTTTTGAGAGCCTTTTTGAGAGATATTTTTTATTCCTTCAGAAAATCAATCGGATTTTTCTAATTTTATTTTTGATAGCACACACATAAACACAAGAGTGATTTAGAAGTGTTATTCTCTATCTCAACGGAATTGAAGCATAATTGAAGATTCAGAAATTCCGGAAAAGCAGAATTCATTCATTCTTCGTCAAATTCAGATCTAGAAGAAAAGGGGTGAAGCGATTACACTTTGAAGGGGTCAGAGCATTCGTGGAGTGTTGTCTGATCTACCTGTAACTCTTCTACAGAGATTGAGAGTAAGCCTGAGGTCGAGAGCTGTTGGACGGGGGAGTCGCAAAGCCAGGGATTGTCAGCAATTGGTTTTTGGTAGAACGATAGGGTGTGAGACTAAGTCAAAGTTCGGTATACTTTGCTTCAAACACAGTGGATCGTTTATCTCATGATTGCGAAATCCAACGAGATTTTTCCTGTTATAATTGGTCTATTCTACCAATTGGGGTTTCCTCGATAAAATCCTAATGTCATCTCTCGAACTCTATTTTATTTACTTACACTTTATTTTTACTTTGTGGTTTGATTTTAGTTTTATTTCGGTAAAATTAAAATAAGTAAAAATTAAATAAATGAGCAAGTTGAATCTATTTACCATCTCTTTAGATTATCTATCCATATAATATATTCCATAACCATTCTGCTGCGCATACCCAACATCATGCACTGACCCATTAATAACATGACATGTTGATTAATATGCACTCTTGGTTTTGTGATGGAATTGATTATGACTCTTTGTGAAAAAGAGTGTATTGCGCTTATCTTCCTTAAAGTTTTATTATTAGTATTATTATTATTATTATTATTTTGTTTTATTAAAGATGCACTTGCATTTTTGGCATTGTTACAGTGTGGTTTGTTTAATTTTTCACATTGAGAGACGGTGAATGTCTAAACTTTACATAGAAGAGATTATTGTCGTCTTCAAAATAGGAGGAAAGCTTAATATTTACTCATTTTTTATTTATTGTGACAATAATTTTTTTTTTTTTTTTTGGGTTCATTTACTTGCATTTGCCAATTTTCTTGTTCATTTTAATGCATTTGCCAAGAATATATAGCGACTAACATTATTTTTAATTTCAAAGCAAAGAAAGCATTTAGTATTTATTGTGACATTTAGTGGTATTTCATACACACACACACACACACATATATATATATATATATTTGTTGATATATTTGTGATGTGTTATACACACACACACACACACAAAAAGAAAACAGGATGGTATGACATGATTCGTTTATTGTTTATCATTTTTAACAAACCCAAAATTGTTTATTCAACTATTCAAGTTGATTGTGGATTTATAAATGTAATCACAGTCAATAAAGCTCTTCTTAAAAGTGTGACAAAATTAAAAAGTAATGCGTGAATTTACAGAATTCATTCTTTATCGCTGTCAATTATTGAAAAATGAAAACAATTAAAAACATACAAGCAATGTTTGGAAATTCTTTGGACCTCTGTCCGAAGATTAAATAAATATATATTTATAAAAAACTGTGCTTCAATTTGTTGAGTCGACAATCTCTTGTAGGTCAAAAAATTGAATCCTTTTAGGATCACTCTCATAGAGATTGTCTTGTAATTGAATATACGTGGAATGAGAGTTTGTAGTGAATTATGAAGTGTCCAACACCACTATCATCGATAAATAAAAATAAATTATATTGGGTCAACCTCGAGTGTGAAAAAGTGTGTTGGATTTTGTAGCATTGAAAGGAAAAGATAAGAGTCTGTTTGGCTAATGCTTTTACTTTGTGTTTTTTGCTTTTATCAGTGTATTGTAGCAAAGCAAAAATACGAAATATATTTGATAATGTTTGTTGTCATTTAAATAATACCGAAGCGCTTTTAAAATTGAAACCAAAAGCAGAAGCATCAAAATGATGTTTTTGGTTGCTTTCGCATTGTAACAAAGCACTGTTAAAAAAAAAAAATTCTAAATAAACATTATTAACTAGCCATTCAAATTTTCAAACTTACAACACTTTTTACCAAACACGCTATCATGTTTTTGCTTTAAAAAAATTTTACAACAAATTTACGTTACCAAACAAGTTTTGAAATAGTGTTAAACATACTGCTCCGAGTTAAAATAAAAACACAAATCAACTATGGTTGCCAAACGAATCTTAAATTTATCCATTGATTTTATTACCTAGCAACGTGGGATGTAACTCTTATGGATGTGTAGCAATGAAAGTGAAAGAATAAAAATAAAAAAATTGTCAATAATCGATTGATTTTAATTTTGTTATTAATTAGTGTGACAAATATTGAAATAAACATTTACATAAATTTTATTCCAAGTCAATGCTATCGTAAATCTTTATTGGACACTACTTATGGGCGTCGTAGAAAGAAAAATTAATTGGATTTTTTAACAAATTATTGTTGTTCCCTAACCGACTATGAAAGTTGTGGTGGTAGTTTGGGACAGCTAATAACGTTGGATCGACTTTAACATCACTACATACGACCGGCAAAAAGGGCGGAGCAATCAGAGTTTGACAAGTGGAAGTCTAGGCTAGAGAGAGAAAGTGAGGGGCGGCTACTAGGTACCAAGGTAGGAGCTGAATGGGGACGGTGATGGAAAAAGCTAGCAAAAGCTAACACATCACTATGATATGGATGATGGTCCACTCTGAACTTCATTTCTATATTGGTTTATCTAGTCTCTTTCCAAGTTGGAGTTGTACCTATGGGTTGCAT